CTTACCTTGGTGAAGAGAAAACCGAGTTCCGGGAGGAAGAATAAAGAAGAAGATTGGCAGCGGACGGAGACCAACGGAGAAGGAGATCTTCAGTTAATTTCCCACACCAAGATCAACACCTAAACACCACAGCCACCAGAAGGAGTTCCGCAAGTGAGCAATGAGAGAAAAGGAGAAGTAAGGTTTTTGAGAGAAAGAGTGCGTAAAGGGAAAAGGAGAATTGGAGTGTGTGAGAATAAGAGTGGGTAAGGGTAAAATAGGAAAAGGAAAAAAGGGGGTCTCACATCGGATGCTGACCATGCAAACAACCCAACATTCTCCCTTAAAGCGTTAATTAATAAGGGTTTATCTTTCATGTTGAGTTGTGTACCAATGCTAGTACACTGCCCTTCTGCATACATCAACTGAAATTTCTCATAATCTCTTTAACTAGTTCCAATCAAGCTTCATTACTCATTTCGAGGTCCAACTCCACCAAGTTTACCTATTTCTTATTTGTCAAGGAAGAAGGTTCATCAACTTGGGTAGGTCGGTTGTCAACCTCAACTTGACTAACCAGGTGTGTTCTCTTTAAACTAACCACGTAACATTTTAAATCTATCTTCTAGTTGGCATGGATGGTCATAATTCTTCTAGTTGAGAAAGGGAACTTCATTGCTAGATGTGACGTTGAAACTATAGAATCCAACTCATTAAGAGATGATCGCCCTAGAAAAGCATTGTAGGAGGTGTTAACATTGACCAATATGTACCTTATATTAATCATCCTCCTTCTTTTCTCACCATCGTCAAAGGTAGTAAGCAAATCAACATAGTCTCTCATGTCAACTCATTCTCCCGAGAAGTTGACGAGCTAGTCATTATAAGGCTTGACACTTGACTCAAGAATTTGTAATTTACGAATGGTGGACATGTATAGGATATCGGCAAAACTACCTTGGTCTACCAAAGTTTTCATTACTGCAAAGTTTTCCATTTCCACAATAATCACCATAGGATTGTCATGACAAGGATCCAAACCTGTAAAGTCCTCGTTCGTAAAGGTGATTGAAAACATATTTCTAGTGGATTGTCGTGCATCTGCATTTACTACTTTAACTGAATAAAGATGTCGTTTCCTAGCAGAATTGGTTAACCCTCCACTAACAAATCCTCCAACTATGGTATTGACCACTCCATGTAGCCGAGGACTAGGACGATCCTCTTTTTGAGGAGCTAGTTCGAGACTCGTCCAGAATCTATCATTTCTCTCTTGCCGTTTCTCGTGATGTTTGTATCTTTGATCTCAATCCTGAGACCTAGTATCAACTTTTTGCTCGAATTTGTGCTATAGTGTCTAGCTTGAATCAGTTCCTCGATCTTGTTTTACAAAGTTGCACACTCCTTAGTGGTATAACCAAAGTTGTGATGATATCGACCATGCTTGCTATGGTCAACCTTTTAAGGAGTAGGAACTGACTTAACAAGGGGTATCAAATCACTACTCAATGCTTCGTCCAATATTCTTGAATGATTATTATTCAAAGGAATGTAGCGAGAAAAATCGTGGTTGCTTGTGTTCTCTCGTGTGCTTGGACCAGTCTCTCTTGCGCTTGTCTTCTCGAGTTTCCACTTTTTCTTTGCCTCGCTCCTTATCAGAGCATTGTCAAAACTTGGCAAATTCCTTCGTTTGCATATACTTTGCAACCCTTCTGAAAATTCTTCTGTTGAAAGGGCCAAATTCTTATACAAGCTATTCAAGAAAAGGACTCAACTTCAAAGTTGTTAACATTTGATGAAGAGTAACCTCCTCGACTAGGTTGGGAATTTTGAAATCTACATTCCCAAACATGTCCCTGAAGGCTCTAAGAGATTCATCCCTATCATGCTTGACATTCATAAAGGGCAATCGAGGTTATAACGTGAAGGTAATTGGTACCAAACTATGTCATAAATTGGGAAACCAATACTCAGAAAGAGTTGACCAAACGAGCCAGGTGGAAGACAAGTGAATCACCTTAGAGTCACTCCCTTCAAAGAGGTAGAGAACATTCAACACATGACGACATTCGTGTTGGTGAGCATGCTAACTAGAGAAACCTATAAGTTAACATGGTCATCATTAGAATCAGAAGTCCTATCATACTTGTCCATCCCTAAGTTCTTCCATCCCCTTGGAAAGGGAACCTCCATGATGTCATCAGTGAATGGGTGCCTCCAAAATTCTTTTGGCATAACAACAAAATGAGGTTAATGTCCTTGCCTACCAAGACATAGGCATTGAAGCTTCGATTTGCCTAAATATCTAAGTAGGTTGAACTCCTCCAAAGCGTGGCACCTAAGTTGATGGCATACCAGAAGGGAAAACAGAATCCCTTGAGGAATCAAAAGAGTTCGGTTGCCAAGTGGGGTCAATGTCTAGAATTTTTGTGCTTGTTTACGATCTTTCAATTAATTTTTGCAACTCAGAATTTTGTTGTATGTGGAGAGTCATCTCTACTTCATGTTGCTTTTGTTGCTACTCACTTTGCTCCCTTCACTATTGTAGTTCCCTTTGCAAATTTGTTAACATTCGAGTGTTATCTAGTGTTCCATGATTCATTCCTGGTGATGCTCCTAGTCTGGCTATTGTCTTTCAAATTTTAGTAGAGTCTATAGGAAAAAGTTTTCTACAGTTCCATGAAGGGCGACAAATGTACTTGCTGGAAAATGTTTAGAGATAAGACCCTAAACTTAAAATCCTTGATCCTTGGTCTTCGGGTTTGTCAATTGTAGTTGTATCTGTAAAAGAAACTCTGATGTGAAAGGCAGCGAGTAATTAGAGTATTCAAGTCTTGTATGTAAAGTTACATACCTTGTGAAGGTAAAATGCATGTACATATAGATGAAAGAATATTACCGTTAAAGATAAGATCATTTAAGTGCATTTAAGGCTTTTAATTACCATGACAATCAAACGTTACATTCTACCATGATTGTGGACGGAAGTGTTCGATCAAGACAAATGATACGTTGAAATGTCCTTCTAAGGTTGAGAGTTGTCAATATCTCAACACCGAAACCTATTTGATACACTAGTAATTGCAAGACCAAAAAATTGACATATACTATATATTACCCTCAATTTGGTTGGTCTAGAGAAAAAAGAAGTTTAAATTTTAAATTGGAGGAAACAAAAAGAAAACATTAAAATTTTATTTTTAATATCATTTTTTCTCCCCATGCATTATTTTCTTTTTTTCTCCTTTAAACATTAAACATGCAATATTAATTTTTTAATTTGTTTTGAGTTCTTCCACTTTAAGTGAAAATCTTAATTAACACAAAAGATAATATAAATGAAGTTAATTTGATGGTTCTTCTTATGGGATATTGAGAAGATCCGAAACAAATATTGAACGTCTAATTATATATGAATAGTTAAAATTAAGCATTATTTAAATAATTTACAACAATTATTAAAATAATCACATCATTAACTTCTTATATTTTGATCAGAGATTCAGAATCCTAATAAAATTTAATGATTAATGCTAGTATTTATTAGTCTAATTTTCGTATAACACAATCCTATTATTTAATATGTAATTACGCATCTTATAATATTTAAGGCGTTTTTTTTTTTTTTCAATGACAAGAACCAACGATAATGTATAGTAGACGCATATAATTCTTTACATGTGAGCTTTACAGGCGTGCAATCCATTAAACTTATTTCAATCATTAACAAAACAAATTGCTCGATCATAACGAAATTAGAAATATCCACTTGCATAATTATTTATCTCCCGACAAAATAAAAAAAAATGAACCATTATGACTTCGCCTTTTCATCAAAACGAATCAAAGACTAAGAAGTGTTACATAACCTAAATATTCCAAGAAAAAATTCGATCAAAATTTTATAAAATATATATTACTTTAAATATAAAATGTATCTGAATGTATACTATATTATTTTTCAGAAAATTTTAACATGAAACAATATAAAATATAAAATATGGTACATGAATAAATCATTAATTTTTACTTTAAGATTTAATAATATAATATTAAACGATTTAGATTTATTACTAGTAAGTTATTTTTGTATTTAGCATATTAGTCCTTGTAAAACGTTTATCTTCCTCGTCACCTCCAACCTCGCCAACTCCTCCACAGCAACATTAGCACTGCCATCACCATTCTCCACGATGTCATTCCGAATGGATCCCGTGCCGTTTCGACTACCTAAGCAATCTAATTCACCCTCCCGCAAAACGACATCAACCGTGGCCATTTCGGAGCCTTCCTTCGCAATATCGTTAGACACCACGTCCTTGCACATTTTCTCCAGTTGCGAGGAAGCTTACGAGAGAGGAAGTCCGTTGGCTAATGACGTCGCATTTGACGTCTTCGATTGCCAACACTATGACCTAAAATCAGTTAGTCAGCCACTAGGCAGCATGCAGCAGACACGAAGTCGGGACAGTGCGCGTAATGGCTGAGGAAAAATTATAAACTTATAAATGTTCCATTTTAGAATAAATTGACCGAAGGAGAAGAAAGGTAACATTATTAGAAATGTGGTTGATTTTTTTTACATGATAAAAGTTCAAAATCCATCGTCAAGAATTAATATATATTTATAAGACATAAATTTTATCGAGACGTTATGAATAATTAAATATATTTTAATTATTCTAAGAGAAACACGAAATATATATTATTCTAAGAGAACTAATAATACATATTTCAAGAATCATAATTTCTAATAAAAAAAACTTGTCTCCTATCAAATATTTTAAATGTTATGATTTCAACCAACTATTTCCTAATATATTTAAATTTTCAACTTCCAAAAAAATAATAATAATTACATATGATGTAGAATTAGAGTGAAACACATGATAATTTCTCGTATATGGTGAGGAGTATTTATATATACCAGATCCAGAATTCCAGGTCCCACATTAAAGTAATAATTTATCATATGCCATACCTCTATGGCACTACTACAGTCTTCATAAGGGCCATTCTGCAAGTATTCTTAACCCACACAGAGCTATAATAGCTAGAATAATGGCTTCTTCCAGCACTCATATCCCCCTCCTCACATTCACATTCACAATAGCTCTTCTCTTGGTTTCATGCATGTCACAATCACCCAAACCCCGTCCCTTGGTCTTACCCATAGGAAAAGACCCCAAAACCAACCTCTTCTACACTTCACTCGGCATAGGAACACCCCGACACGACATGGAGCTAACCATTGACCTAGGAGGACCATTCCTATGGTACGACTGCGACAACAGCTACAACTCTTCAACCTACCACCCCGTCCCATGCCAATCCAAAAACTGCCCCGGAGACGCTGCATGCACCGGCTGCACCGCTGGCCCTTTCAAACCTGGTTGCTCAAACAACACGTGCGGAGCCTTCTTAATAAACCCCTACGCCGATGCTATCTTCAGCGGCGACTTAGGCCAGGATGTCGTCTTCCTCTCTAACTCCTCATCACCACTCTCTCCGATACTCTCCGCATGCACTCCCGCCGATGGAAGTTGGCTTCTAAACAACTTAACCCAAAACAGTAAAGGGATATTAGGCATCGCAAGGACACAACTTGCGTTACCAACGCAGCTTTCACTCTCTCGTAAGCTTCCTCGCAAGTTTGCCCTATGTTTACCATCATCAAACAAGAAAGGGCTTGGTACCCTCTTCTTTGCTGGGGCACCACGTGTTTCTTTTCCACTTCAAAATACTTCTCTCATTGTTAACCCCTTCAGCACCGCTCCCATCTTCACTGAAGGCGACCCCTCTTACGAATACTTCATAGCTGTGAAATTGATCAGCGTTGGTGGCCGAGTTCTCAGCTTTAAGCCTTCCCTTCTTTCCATTGACAACAAGGGACACGGTGGGACCAAAATCAGCACTATGAATCCCTTCACCGTGCTGCATAGTGCCATATTCAAACCCCTTGTTAGGGAGTTTTCCAAGAGGGCTTCTGATAGGAAGATTAAGAAAGTGGCGTCGGTGGCACCGTTTGGAGCGTGTTTTGATTTCAGCACCATTGGTAGGAACGTTACGGGACTTGATGTGCCGGTGGTTGAGTTGGGCCTGGAAGGGGGAGCGCAGTGGAGAATTTATGGTGGGAATTCGATGGTTTTGGTGAACAAAAAGGTGGCGTGTCTTGGATTTGTGGACGGAGGGCAAGAGACAAAGACATCGGTTGTTATTGGTGGGCTTCAATTGGAGGACAATCTTTTGGAGTTCGATTTAGTTTCATCCAAACTAAGCTTCACCTCCTCCCTCCTCCTTCATAATGCAAGATGCTCTCACTTCACAAGCTAATAATTTCTTTTCGCATATTCAACTGGGTGTGATGATGAGTTTAGTTAATTGACTTCTATATGTATGGCTGAAAATTAATACAGCATGTTTTCCTTTAACTGATTTTGGAAATTTGAGCAGTTGTGTTGTGAATGTTGATAATAAAAGAACATGTGTAATGAAGTTTATTCAGTTCTGTACACGTATACTTTGTATTTACTCGCACAATAAAATAATGTCAAATTATGGATGTCTAAACTATGGATAATTGTGATATATTTATTTGATAATCGTGAATGCCTTTATGACAACTTCAGTTGTTGGAAATTCACTTGAGATCTATGACCGTTCGAAACTAAGTCAAATTGTCAGCATAAGCTTAGATATTATTCTTTACTTGCACCTATAATTTTTTTTTAATTTGACTCAGATATTACAATAGTTTCTATTTAATATTTTGTAAAAATAAATAAATAAAAGAGTATATTTCGTTTAAGTAAAATACAAATAGTAGTCAGGTTTGGATGTATAGATAAATTAAATATCAACATTCCTCGATATGTGCATCAATTAAGTGTGAGACTATTCTAATTTAATTCATATCTAAAATTGGAGTTCTAGGTATTTAAGTACATTAAATACTTACGCAAGAAACTTTGTTACTCACTATTGTTCTAGCGAAGCCTGTAAGATTGTCATAGAAGATAATAAGGTATTTCTGATTAAAAAAAGAAAAAAAAGTCAACACCAACATTTAAAATATTATTAACAAAAAGGTTAAAAACCTATTCTGGTCCTTTATAATAATTATTTGTTTCAATTTAGTTCCACTTTTATTTTTTGTCTCAATTTGATCCCTAATAAATTAATTGGTTGCAATGTCGAATTTCTGTCCAAGTTATTTAAATGGAGTTAACTGTTGGCCACGTGGAAGCCACGTAGATGCATAAGTGGATGCCACGTGGATGCCAAATTTGTTGAAAACTCCTTGAACCAGAACGGCCCATTCGGAAATCAGAACGGGCCGTTCTGGGTGTATTCTTGGTGTGTTAATTTTGCATCTAAAACGGGTCGTTCCAGATGCAAAATTAACACACCACCTGTACATTAAAACGGTCTGTTCTGAAAGCAGAACGGGTCGTTCTGGTTTCAGAACGGGACATTCTGGATTCGGAACGGCCCGTTCCAGAACACCAACTTGTTAAGTAAAAACAATAGAATATTCTATATTAATTTTATTAAAAATATAATAATTTTGAAAAATATTTTTTTATGGTAAGAATTTTAAAGTTACTTATTTCTATAAAATACAATTGTCTTATAAATAGAGTGATAACTTTTCCTTTTTCTCTTTCTCTCTGAAAAAATATTTAAGTGTCATTTTATAATTTTTTGCAACTTATTTAAAATTAGAGGAATAAAATGATAAAAATTAATAGGATAAACATAATAAAATTATTAATTTGTTTTCTTTTAGTGTCCTCTAAATTTTTACACTCATTTAAAACAAAAATATTTTATATGTTAATTTGAATTAATTTAACGAAGTATCATATGATTTTTAATTTTTTAAAAATTTTTATAAATTTGATCTATACATGAAAAGCTTTTTAATTTAACAATTAAATTTTTAAAAATTTGATATAGAACATTAATTATTAAGTAAAATAAATCTATCAAGACTTAATCTTGAAGTAAGTAAATTTTTTCTTCATTAAAAATGAAGATAATTTTACCAAAAAATAAAAAATAATTAAACAATAAAATAAAATATAAAAAAATATTAATGTATTTATTATATTAGATATAACAACATAATTAAAATATAATTAATAATATATATTTCATAAAATTATTAATATTTTATATATAAAAAAAAGAATGAAAATTTTTTTAGTAGAGGCAAGTGCCCCCACTATGATTAACTTAGATCCTTTCCTGCATGTGGTTGTGTGGTGAAATGCTAATCCTGTGTATCCTCTTCTTTTACTTCAGGTTCTACCTCTTCAAGAACAAGTTGTTGTTGTTGGGGTACATCGTTAATGACTTCAAGGAAAAATATCATGTCATTTCATTCTTTACTGTATAGTGTCAATTTGGTAGTAAGTGGTTTACTCCAGTTTGACTAACAATGAAATAAAATCTGCTACCATTGTCTTTAGTGATACATTGCATTGTCCTTAATGATACACTGTATAGTCCAACTGTTTAGCAATTGAAGTTATCAATTTCCATTAACAATATTACCAAATCCAGTGTTTGAAATATTTTGTACCTTGGGTCTTTTTATTCCTTCTACGATTCACAACCATGAACTATAATCATCGACCGTTTTTGTTTAGCAATCTAGAACCAAAACGGTCCGTTCTGGTTGCACTCTTAGTGTGTTAATTTTGCACCTGGAACGGGCCGTTCTGGATGCAAAATTAACACACTAAGAGTGCACCCAGAACGGTGCGTTTTGGTTTCAGAACGGGCCATTCTGGTTCTAGGTGTTTTCCAACAGTTTGGCATCCATGTGGCATCCACCTATGTATCTATGTGGCCAACAGTTAACTCCGTTTAAATAATTTGGACGGAAGTCCGACATTGCAACCAATTAATTTATTAGGGACCAAATTGAATCCAAAAATAAAAGTGGGACTAAATTGAAACAAACAATTATTATAAGGGACTAAAATACTATTTTAGCCTAACAAAAAAAATGAGCCGAATTAAATTTTTTTTGATATTTTTGTATATTTTGATGTAAATCTGTGTTGTGCGTTTGTTTTCTATTATAAAAAATTATTTTAAATTTTAAAAATGTAATTAACCAAGGTGTTGTAAATAGTATAGTGCTACTTTTAAAATCAGCTATCTAAGAACTGATTTTAAAAATTACATACAAAATCGATTCATAGAAAACCGATGTTAAAAATGTCAGAACTTAATCTAAAGTCTACGGTCCCATTCTCCCTTCCTCTCCATTCTCTTTAATTTGCTCCATATGTTCTTTAGATTAAGTCTACGGTTCATATATTCTTTTCTTTACTCTCTCGGGCTCACATCTAAAGTCTTTAGCTTCTCATTTTCTTGGAAGAATACAATATCAAGGTAACATTCTCTTCTCTTGTGTCTTATTTCGTTGTTGCTAGGCGAATTTTGAATCTGGAACGGCCCGTTAGAACGGTCCGTTCTGCAAACAAAACAGTCCGTTCTGCAAGCAGAACGACCTGTTTTGAGGTTGTTCTAGACTACAGTTTTAGGCATTTTTCAAAGTGGATACCTTTATAATTTCTTTTTTGACTCACCATTGCTTTATCTAGACAAATTAGGTACCCAACTTAGAAAATTAGACACCTTCTATGTATGTGTTATATATTTGTATTTTATTAATAATTTTTGATATAATTAATTTCTACCTAGTAATTTATTGTTTAGAAAAATTAGGTGCTTTATTATATTTTTATAAATTAATATGATGTTATATTTATGCACATATTGAGTGAACCTTAGTTTCCCATTTGAAATTTAATACAAATGATTAAAATAGTGAGATTAACATTCATGGTCTATGTTTTTTTTATGAAGAACAAAAGTTATGAATAAAAGTTTGTTATTGAATCGAAGTTGGATACATGCATCATGTATAAGTGATCAGTGTGAGACTAGAGTAGAATATTTTATTGAATATGTAATACGAAATGCTAACGATGATATGAATGGAAGGTTCTTTTGTCCTTGTGTTAATTGTTGTAATGCGACTCACCTAGAACTTGATGTTATAAGAGAACATCTTTTGTATGATAGATTTCTTAAGAATTATATACGTTGGATATGGCATGGTGAAAATGTTGACATTCAAAGTGTATCAGTCGAAACTCAAACTCAAACATTTACACAAGAGATAGATATGGATGATCGGTTAGAGGAGATACTTCGTGATGTGGGTCCAAAATTATTCAAGCATGCACATATGTATGAAACTATGTGCAACGATTTGGAGAAGCCGTTGTATCCAAACTGTACAAAAAAAACAACCCAAAATGATTTGGAGAAGTCGTTGTAAAAAAAGCTTTTAATGGATTTCAAGAATATGACAGTGCACCTACTGCATTCACTGGTGAGCAAGTTTATGAACGGGTGAAGAATTTAAATATGACACTTGGAAAGAAGGAAAAACAACCCAAAGAAAGAAGCATATGGAAGAAGAGGTCGATATTATTTGATCTTCCATACTGGAAAGTTCTTGATGTTAGACATTGCATTGATGTCATGCATGTTGAGAAAAATGAATGTGATAGTGTAATTGGCACACTTCTCAATATTCAAGGCAAGACAAAAGATGGATTCAACTCTCGTCTAGATTTGCAACTCATGGGAATACGATAACAATTGTATCCACAACCTAAGGGTAAGTGAACATATTTGCCCCCAGCATGTCACACATTGACAAAAAAGGAGAAAACAAGTTTTTGTGAGTGCTTACATGGTGTCAAAGTGTCGCATGGTTACTCTTCTAATGTAAAAAGTCTAGTATCAATGAAAGATTTGAAATTAGTTGGCTTGAAGTCTCATGATTGTCATGTACTAATGCAACAACTTCTTCCTGTCGCTATACGTGACGTTTTACCTAAAATGTGAGACAAGTCACAACTAGGCTTTGCTTGTTTTTCAATGGCATATGCAGCAAAGTAATTGATCCACATAAGTTAGATGAGTTGAAAAATGAAGCTTTTCTAATATTGTGTCAGTTGGAGATGTATTTTCCTCCTTCATTTTTTGACATTATGGTTCACTTAATCATCTACTTGGTCAGAGAGGTTAGACATCCAAAATTAGATGTCTGACTCAAATAAAAAAGTTTACTTAGTTCCTTACTTTTCTAAGTAAGTCTATTTGTATATAATTGATTATAAATTTTTAAAAAATGTATTGTTTATTACTGATAGTTTCTCAATGTAGTGCTCATTGACAACTTTTGATTATTTGTCCTATGGACAATATATCTGTATGCATTTGTTCGATGCACAAACCTCCTCCTGCAGACTTTAAACAATTATTAGATAAGTAAGTTGTTTTAAAAAAAACTACTTTATTTTATTTATCATTATATTTTATTTTAAAATATAATAATGATGTCCTTTTATCATTAGGGCTATGGAAGGATACCATATACTTAAAGGTTCAAAGTTGAAGAAAAAAATGCTTTGGGTCTCTCTTAAAGTAAGTTATTTTATTTTAGTAATGATATTTTTTCTAAGGT